TTTAATTAATGGGGTCTCACTATGTTGCCCAGGATCTCGAACAACTGAGCTCAAGTGATCCTCCTTCCTCGGCCTCCCAAAATGCTGGGATTACAGACATGAGCGACTGTGCCACTAATGGCCATATTTAAAAATTTATTTTTTCCTCAGTCTCTGACTCTTCCTTGCTTAATCATCCTATTCTTTAATACACAAACCTATAACTTTGAGGAAAGAAAATCAGAGATTATTTCTCCCCACTTACCCATTTCACGGTGCGACAATGAGCACTCTTTCTCCAAGCCAAGCATTTGATAAGCATTCGTTGCTATGGGCATTTTACTGCCTTAAAGAAATCCACCCCAATTCCCCGCCTATTGATTTCTTAAGATCACAGAAGAAAGTGGAATGAATCCTAGAGAGGCCTTCAAGCTCCCTGACACCCATGGGGCCCACTCATCTCCACCCCCCTACTCCAATTCCAAAATCTAACACATTGTCCTTTTCTTAGTTCCTCAGTTCCCCGCCCTTCAGCTTCTTTGTTAGCCACTGGGTGGGTGTAACCAAAACTCAGTCACACTGTGGCCCCAGCAGCTGGGCTTCTCTCTCCCCCATTACATTGCAGACATTCTTTTCACATCATTTTGTCCTCTCTGCTGCATTCCCTCCATTTGGCTTAATTCCCTCTGTGCAAACTTCTGTTTCAAGGCACAGGAGTTTGCCAAGGAGATGCTGGCAGAGAGGGTCCAGTTCTCTCCTTTCTATCTGAAGAGCCCAGTGTCATTCATTAGCATATGAGAAGAATGGTTGTAAATAAACATCAAATGAGGTTAACGAGCTGCAGCTCATCAATATTAATGAAGTCCACCTCACAGCCTTGGTATGAGGTACCAATGGCTCTAATCACAAGAAGCAGTTTCATAAGGCCCCAGTTACAGGGCAGGAAGGGTTAGATATCCAGCCTGTTGAAATGTTTGTCATTTTATGACCCCAGGAATGCTGCAGGGTAAGGCGGTCCGATGCCAGATCTGTGCTTGCAAGCCCCTCTTGTGTTCAGATTACATCTGTTTGTCTCAACAGGTGGAAGCCTAGGAAAAGGCTGTATCTGCTAAGCCAGAATCTGGGGTGGGAATACCCCAGGTCAATCTACAGTTCCCAAATCGAAATGAAGTTCCAGAGCCAGGGTTTGATCTCTCATTGTCCTTCCATCAGTTACCCCAGATAACCCAAACACTTGTTGCCAGTGTAGTGAAGGACGGTCTGAGGATCTTCTAAGCCCAGCTTGGTAAGGAATGAAGAAACTCCCATTTCATGTAGCTCATGTGCCCGCCAGCCACCAGTTAAGTCCCTGTGCCTATTATTTAGAGGATTCAAATAGTAACAAGGGTCAGGCATGGTGGCTCATGCCTGTAATCGCTACACTTTGGGAAGCAGAAGTGAGGGGATCACTTACGGTGAGGAGTTCCAGACCAGCCTGGGCAACATAGGGAGACCTCTCTCAAAAACAATAAATAGATAAAAATTTTAAAAGTAGTTGGGCGTGCTGTCATGTGCCTGTATTCCCAGCTACTCAGGAGGCTGAGGTGCGAGGATCACTTGAGCCTAGGAGTTTGAGGCTGTGGTAAGCCATGATCATACCTCTGTACTCCAGCATGGGCAACAGAGTGAGACTCTGTCTCTGAAAAAACATTTTTTTTTTAATTAAAAGAAACAGTAAGTACAGCTATTATTTATTGAACTCTTACTGTGTCCTAGGCATGGTACTAAACATTTTTGTTATATAATCCTCACAATAATCCCATGAAGCTATTCCCATTTTACAGATGAGAAAGTTGAAACTCACTGATTTGATGTCATGGGTCTAAGATCACACATCAGCAAGTGGCAGAAGAGGAGCTCAGATTTCGATCTGTCTGACTGCAGAGCCCATGCTCTTACTTCCTACCCTCTGTGGTATCATCTCAGAGCCAATCACATAAAATGCAAGCTTTTGTGCTGCTCCTTCTCGTCAAAGATGTGTGTCCTTCTCCAGTTTCAAGGGACTAAACACAAAGTAGTTCCCTGGAAGTAGAATCAGAAGACTTTAGAATTAATTTTTTTAAGTCAAAGCGCCTCTTTGAAATTATTTTTAGAAAGGAAATTTTCATTAAACATGTTTTCCTTGATATATAAATTTGGGGTCAGAGGGATTAGGCTTTGAGAATATGTGTGTGTATGCACAACCCAGTATGTATTGATAGCTGTGATACTGATTTATCCACCTTGTCACACTAGTTCATTTTATGATTAAGCACACACCTTGCATGAGGTCAGTGACCATAGAACACAGAGAAACCGCTCCGTGGCTGATTTGAGCCTATGATCCTAGCCTCAATTACCTTGTTTCAACAACAGCGCCTGGTTTATTACTTAAAATACTATCATTGTACTTTGTCTTGGGGGTGGGAAGGAGAACCCATCAAATTGTTGTTATCACAAAAGCTACACCTGATTGTTTGTAAAGAAGGACTTCTAGTGAAAGGATGAAAGTGAAACAGCTACTTCTCTTTCTTCCATTTTTCTCCTTGAAAATTCAGGGACCTAGGCCAAGGCAGGCAGATCACTTGAGGCCAGGAGTTCAAGACCTGCCTGGCAACATGGCAAAACCCCATCTCTACTAAAAATACAAAAATTAGCCAGGCATGGTGACACGCGCCTGTAGTCCCAGGTACACGGGAAGCTGAGACACGAAAATTGCTTGAACCCAGGAGGGAGAGGTTGCAGTGAGCCAAGATCAGACCACCGCACTCCAGCCTGGGTGATAGAGCAAGATCCTATCTCAAAAAACAAAAGAAAAGAAAAGAAAAGAAAAAGAAAGAAAGAAAGAAAACTCAAGGACCTTACTTGGTAATTTTTACCTAGGCAAAACGCCCAGGAATGTTTCCACAGAATGGCACCCAAAGCCCACCCATGCAGGAGCTCTTCCCGCCACCAAGGTAACCAAGACTAGGAAGCAATTGAAACTGGGCCTTCCTTTCCCAGGCCTGTGGCTGTCAACTTGGCTCAGAAAGGGGCAGACTGATGACTTTGTCTCCTTACCCAGTCACACTACCACACAGTTCTCATTTGAGGCTGGTCACATGGCTGTGCCTTCTTATGGCCAAACAAGGGTTCTTTGCACCCTGGGTTTGGCCTGAGCATCATTAGATGAAACCATCAGGACCCCCAAACCTTGAAGTTTTTGCAGGGGAAATTGCATGCAGGGATGGGAAGGAGGGGCTGAGCTGTGTAGTGGAGCAGCGGATGGTGTGCAGTCGGGATGTTTGCAAGAGCCAAGGGGTTAGTTCATTGCTGCTTTGTATACTCAGGCACACCAGAAAACTCAGATTAATAGGCTGTTTATTCTTCAGCATGTTCCTTGAATCAAAGGCTCTGGATGGTATTATTCAAGAGTGTTTGTGAGAGCGCCCTGGAACACTCCTCCTGGGCTCCGCTCACTGAAGAGAAACGATTGAGTCCTTTCATTTCCTGGGCAGCATCCCTCTCACTCATTGCTCACTGTAGTATAAAGGTCTGCAGAACCTTTGTTAGAAACAAGATCTTTTGTTCTGTCCTTATGAGGTCCCATTACCTATACCGCACCTTGATCTGTTGGAGTCTAATTATTTAATGTTCCTGTCTTTTGCACTACCTGAACCTAATGAATGCAGTCCACTCTATCTCAGGGAGTTGTTTTGTTTTGGGTTTTTGCCTCTATTTGGCACCAGTTTCCTGTTTGGACAGTATTGTCTTTTTTTTTTTTTTTTCCAAGGAGTTTGTCCAGGAGGGAAGGAGACATCCACCTGAACCCTACTCTGTGAAGCAAATGAATATTTTTTTTTATTAGAAGATTCTCCTAAAATGAGAATCGCTGACCCCAGGGAGGCGGAGGTTGCAGTGAGCCAAAAATTGTGCCACTGTACTCCAGCCTGGGTGACAGAGTGAGACTCCGTCTCAAAAAAAAAAAAAAAAAAAAAGAAGATTCTCCTAAAATGTTCGAAAGTTTCTTCATACCTGGGAATTGAAGCATACTGAATTACGAAAGAGTTACTTCCTCCACCCCTACCACCTGCAGTAGAGATTTATACTGGAGAAGGTGGCAAAAAAAGTTAGGAGAGAAACTGCTCGGTACAATTCCCCCCAGTTCCCTTGGGGCAGCAGTGTGCTGCACATGAGGGATCACTGTACCTTGTTCCCCCAGCAGTGATACTGCTCTGTGGCCAGGCAAATACTGTAGTCCAGGCCTTCCACAACTTCTGCATGTGCGTGCGTGTGCACACACACACGCACAAAACTATACCCCTACTAGGCATCCCCTTAATACAGAGGCATCCAGTATATTGCAAAGGTACTCATCATTATACACAATGCAAACACTCAGCACATTTGTAGGCACTCATTTATATCAAACAAACCCAGTACGAATAATAAGCAATAGTTTGGGATCTGGCACAACACTTAATTACCACAGCCAGAGGCCAGAAAATGAAATCCGGGTCATATATCTGAATCTTTCTGGCATCCTATAGCCCAAAGCACCACCAGGGAGGTACACCTTGGAGCAATGGGAGCACTGTCATCCAGAAGACACTGTCCCCTCACTTTCCTCCAAAACCAGCACAGCTGTTTGGATGGGGCTATCTGCCGTATTTACAGTGAGACTAAGATATATATACACACCCTGGCGCTTCGCCTGATTTCTTCTGTGAAGTCCATCTGTTTATCCAGTTCCAGATCCCAAAAGGCAGTCACCAAAAACTAAATAGTGAGAAGGGACAGGGTTTTTTTTCTTTCTTTTTTGATAAACATGTTACAGTGAACAAAACAGATTTTGCAAACACATTCCATCTAGTAAATCTTACCTCACAGCTGTGTGAGAAGGACTTGGAGGAGAAAAGGATGGGGAGCAGGAGGGTCTCAGGACTTGATTGGAGAATCAGAAACCCACAAGGGTGGGACAGTTCAGTACTATCTACTTTTTCTTTTTCTTTTTCTTTTTCTTTTTTTTAACAAAAGTTTATTCTTAAATGTACAACAGCTCCAAGACAACACTTAATTCTAGCTTTAGGTGGCAAAAGATGTTATGGCAGGGAATATAGATGTTTAAATAAGGATGAAATAAAGGGTCACCATCTCCTCAGGCACAAGGAACAGCTTACTTTTTGCCAGATTTCTTAATTCCACCTGTGGCCAAGGGCCCCTTCCCCGCAGCCTTCGCTTTTAGCTCCTCGAGTTTCTTCTGCTCCTCTTTTTGTTTCTGCTCGAAAGCCTTACCTTCCTCATCCATCTCCTTGGCCTGCTTCTTAGGCTGTTTCAGTGACTTCTTCTTGCCACCTTCACGGCCGGACATGGCACCTGCCACTCCTTCCCCAGACCCTGCCACCAGACTCTTTTTTTTTTTTTTTTTTTTTTTGAGATGGAGTCTCGCTATGTCACCTAGGCTGGAGTACAGTGGCATGATCTCAGATTACTACAACCTCGGCCTCTTGGCTTCAAGCGATTCTCCTGCCTCAGCCTCCTGAGTAACTGGGATTACAGGCGCTGGCCACCATGCCTGACTAATTTTTGTATTTTTAGTAGAGACAGGGTTTCACCATGTTGGCCAGGCTGGTCTTTAACTCCTGACCTCAAGTGATTCATCCACCTCGGCCTCCCAAAATGCTGGGATTTCTGGTGTCAGCCACCGCCCGCAGCCTATCTACTTCTTATAGGGTGATAATTGGCTTTTTCCCTTCATTCTAGCCCCCTTCCTAAACCTGGGATCTGTGATGGGCTCACCAAAGATAAAGATCTGTCTGCAGACATTAGCTTCTTTCGCTGAAAAGCTGATCTAGCCAGACTTTATCTTCAAAGGACAGGCCCTGCACTTCTGATGTTCCCTGAACCTCTCCCACTGAGCCTGCTCTCATCCACTGCAGCCATGATGCTCTCTGGATTCAGACAATGGTGTGTTGTCCCAGAACACCATATCTGGCCTATTTCTACTTCACGTCTACCCCTTTGGCTAGGAAAATGAGGGACACAGCTCACATCAATAACTTGGATTCTGAAGACCAAGGACAAGCAGAAGAAATTGACCTTTTGCCTCAGAGGCGGCTGGATGTTTGTGTGTCTCTCTTCAATGTGGAATTGGCTCACTGAACCACTCAAGAGTTGTTTTTTTAAAAATGTTCTGCTCACTCCTCATTTGCGGGTCAGATGCTTTGGATAATCCAGTGGAATTCTCTCTGCTTCACTGCTGGTTGCTGCCAGACACAGAGTGCTAAATCCTGTCAGTCGGTGACTTGAAATGATGATGTGTGAAACAGTGCTGTGATTTGGACATCCTGCACTCATTTGCACGGACTCCTTTGCCAGTTAACCACAGTAGTGAAATGGGGCAGCCTGGGGCAGCTTCCACAGCCCTTGCCTTATCTTTCCTCAGTGTCCCCACCCTCCCCCATGGCAGTATGTAGCTCCCTTGGAATTCTGTTTCATTCAATATTATTCCCTTCCCAGGCATCATAGAGCAATTTCTTTAACAGAGTGCAACATGCCAGAGACAGAGAAATAGCATTTGTGTGCAGAATGGAGAAGCAGGAAGCAAAACACTCTTGTTGTTGGTTCCCATCTCCCTGTCTTTGCCCTTCCTTCTTTCCCTAGATTGCATGGCTGCCTCCTTCTCATTTGGTGCATTCTCAGTTCAAATGGTACCTTCTCAAAGATGAGCCTGACACAGCCGTCTCATGTGGTCCCACCCTCTGTCACTGTGTATCACACCACCCTGCCTGATTTCTGTCATTGCTCTGCTCACTTCCTAAAGGTATTTCTTTCTTTGTTACTTTTTATTGCCTGTCTCCCCAACCACCGCTGCCACATATACACACTAGAATGTAAGTACCATGAAAATAGGAATTTTTATCTGTCTTATCCCTTGCTGTTTCCCCAGAATCTAGCACTGTCCCTGGCATACCTTTGACACTTAGTATATTGACTAAATAAGTAGCTAAGAATGTAGCAATTAAGAACTTCTAAAGCAAATATCCATGGTTACTATCAGGAAATAGTAAAGGCAGACAGAGAGTTTGAGGAATGGAATGAGAAGACATGATTTCTTATACTAATTTTAATAATGGTCTTAATTACAAATTGAATATGTTAAGTCAAAGATCACAACATTGAGTCGCTCTTCATTTCTTCTGACTCAGACTAAACTGCCCCTTATTGAGTAGGTTAGGTCAGGGTCATAGAGACCAAGTACTACAAACTTCCTGGCCAAACTGGCATAATTGATGCCACAAAGGATGCCCACTTCCAGATTTCCATTGGACGGTGCCTGGCTTTGCTTTCTTTAGGGCAGGTGCCAGAAGAAACTGGCACAATGTAAAGCAGTTTAAAGCCCAGTCTGGGTATCTTCATCTAGCCTTTATTATATTCTTGCCTGCCTTCAGTTCCCAAAAAGACTGCGTTCCTGTCTGCAGCTCCAGGGCCCTGCAGCCCCTTCAGTCATAAAGGCCATGGAGGTGGGTTAGCCCTGATCTGCCCAGCGTGAGACAGTATGACCAAGAGAACACATCTTTTTTTTTTTTTTTTTTTGAGACAGAGTCTCTCTCTGTCACCCAGGCTGGAGTGCAGTGACGCGATCTCAGCTCACTGCAAACTCCACCTCCCAGGTTCATGACATTCTCCTGCCTCAGCCTCCTGAGTAGCTGGGACTACAGGCGCCTGCCACCATGCCCGGCTAATTTTTTGTATTTTTTTAGTAGAGACGGGGGTTTCACCATGTTAGCCAGGATGGTCTCGATCTCCTGACCTCGTGATCTGCCCACCTCGACCTGAGAACACATCTTTTAGTCCGGCAGACACATGGCACTCTTCTCCTCAAGAGTTCTTCACCCAAACGAGAATTTTTAGCTTCTCAGAAGTTATCCTTTGTCTTGTTGGGGCAAGATCTATGCCTAGTGTCAAGAGAGAGATATTAAAGATTAAAGAGCCTCCACCAGGAAAGGGAATGGTTTTGCCTGAATCTCTTAATTTGTTTTCCCCCCCTACAAGTGCATTCATGTTGCTGGGCTCCCTGGCTTACTCCCCGGTGGTTTGCAGTCATTTTCATCATGACTTTGTGGTTGCATTGATAATCAGAATGAGTTTCCACTGCTGTAGAGGATGCTTCCATGCTCCATTGCTTTCTCTCTTATGTTGCTAATGACTCTCTTGTTGGTTTCAGCCCTTAGCCAAGCCCACCCCACTCCACACCCAACTCCTTCCCTGTCTTTTATTGATAGCTATGTTGACTTTGCATGCCTCGGTTAGTTCAGTTTTCTGAGCACCTGCAGAGAATTAACCATCTCTGCTTGCTGCTGCGGATCACCTAGGCCTTTGATCTGTTTGATTTCTGTACTTTTAAAAATGTTGAAGGACTCTCTAACCCCACCAAAGTACATAAATGGTGCTAGAGTCCCTGTAGCCTGACCTCTTCCAGACTAGCTCTGCTTAGGGACCAGAAGATTTTCATGTAAATACAAATGTAGATACCATTTATTAAATGTTTTCTATGTACCATTTTACTGTTCTAAGCACTTAACGTGAATATTTCATTTGATTTTTGCTTGTAGAGCTAAAAGGCTATATACATGAACTGGCCCGTTATTTCTCTAACCTCATCTCTTCTTCCTTTCCCCCTTATTCTTTTGGCTCCTTCCACGCTGGTTTCCATGCTGTTCCTCTTACCCACTAGGCACACTCCCTCCTTAAGACTGTAAAGGATATTACCTCTGCCTGGAATGCTCTTCCCTCAGATGTCTGTGTCAGTTACTCCTTAACCCCTTCATATCTTTGCTTAGGTGTTACCTTCTCCATGTAACCTACCTACACCACTCTACATAAAATTGAACCACCAGTACCACCTCATATTCCCTATCTGACTTGCTGTATTCTCTTTTTTTCCATTATACTTATCACTGAATCTCTTAATTTGCCTCGCTTAACTTTCTGTATAGCTTGTTTGTTTGTTTGTTTGTTTGTTTATTGAGACTGAGTCTTGCTCTGTCACCCAAGCTGGTGTGCAGTGGCGTGATCTCAGCTCACTGCAGCCTCTGCCTCCTGGGTTCAAGCAATTCTCCTGCCTCAGCCTCCTGAGTAGCTGGGATTACAGGCATGCACCACTACGCCCGGCTAATTTTTGTGTTTTTAGTAGAGACAGGGTTTCACCGTGTTGGCCAGGCTGGTCTCAAACTCTTGACCTCAAGTGATCTGCTTGCCTTGACCTCCCAAAGTGCCGGGATTACAGGCATGAGCCACTGCCTATTTGTTTATTTTCTTTATCATTCATTGTCTGTCTTCCCCACTGTAAGATAAGCTCCGTGAAGGCAAAGAGCTTGTCTATTTGTTCTCTAATGTATCCTAAGCACCTAAAAAATAACATCTGACACATAATAGATGCTACATAATATCTATTAAGTGAATGAACTTTGTCCCTTAAAAACCAATGAAGTAAGTTCTTCTGTTATTCCCATTTTATTTGTTTGTTTATTATTGTTTTTATTATATTTTAATGTAATAAAACTATAATATAATAGGGTACACGTGCACAGCGTGCAGGGTTGATACATAGGTATACATGTGCCATGTTGGTTTGCTGCACCCATCAGATCATCATCTACATTAGGTATTTCTCCTAATGCTATCCCTCCCTCAGTCCCCCACCCCCCAACAGGCCCTGGTGTGTGATGTTCCCCACCCTGTGTCCAAGTGATCTCATTGTTCAGTTCCCACCTATAAGTGAGAATATGCGGTGTTTGGTTTTCTGTCCTTGTGACAGTTTTCTGAGAATGATGGTTTCCAGCTTTATGCATGTCCCTGCAAAGGACCTGAACTCATCCTTTTTTATGACTGCATAGTATTCCATGGTGTGTATGTGCCACATTTTCTTAATCCAGTCTATCATTGATGGACATTTGGGTTGGTTCCAAGTCTCTGCTATTGTGAATAGTGCCACAATAAACATACGTGTGCATGTGTCTTTATAGTAGAATGATTTATAATCCTTTGGGTATATACCCAGTAATTGGATTGCTGGTTGTAATACTAGTAATTTGTAAATTGTAATACTAGTTCTGGGTCCTTGAGGAATCACCACACTGTCTTCCACAATGGTTGAGCCAATTTACATTCCCACCAACAGTGTAAAAGCATTCCTGTTTCTCCACATCCTCTCCATGTTTCCTGACTGTTTAATGATTGCCATTCTAACTGGCGTGAGATAGTATCATTGTGGTTTTGATTTGCATTTCTCTGATGACCAGTGATCATGAGCATTTTTTCATGTGTCTGTTGGCTGCATAGATGTCTTCTTTTGAGAAGTATCTGTTCACATCCTTTGCCCACGTTTTGATGGGGTTTTTTTGGGTTTTGTTTTGTTTTGTTTT